CTTCCTCGGGAGGAGGATTCGAGGCAGGGGCTGGCAAGGTAGCTAAGCATTACTCAGACCGATTTATCTTCCTGCCCGGCTGAGCCAGAGCTTGTCCAGTCGGTGGCCATTGGTTCCTTCCTGGGCCCCCAGGGGGGCAGTTTACCCAGTCTGTTGCCAGGACTCCCAGGCAGCCACAATGGGCCACCTCACTTGGGTCTCTGTTCCCACCTCTGGCTGCCTGTCCCACTGCACTGGACCTGGGCCGGACATTCCCATTGACAGCAGGCGTGTGAAAAAGCATTTCCTTGAATTCTCCCTGTCCTAACCTTATGCTCTGGCCTCTCTTGCCCTGCCTCACTTCCCTCCTTTGGATTCTTGATCCAGACAGGCCCAGTGATGGGTGGAATAAGCAGCTGCCTGCAGGGATTGGGAAAAGGCCTTGTTCCTGCCTGAGCAAAAGTAATCCTAGGGGCCTCCTGACTCCCAACCTCATGATCTTTCCACTTCACTCATCTTTAATACTCGATCAGACTTTTCTACCTTAGTAAGAATGAGTTTATCAGTTATTCTTCTGAGAGGAAGAATGAAGAGAAAGCGTGAGTCCTAGGTGGCCGAGTTTCCAGGACAGAGGAGAGGATTGTGGAATGAGAAGGAGAGGGCTCTGCAAACTACTGTGCAGGAGCCCTGCACCTTTTCTTGAGCCCCTGTCTGAAACGTGGAGTGGTTAAGAGATGAGATTTTGCAGCCAGACTCTCTAGCTTTTCAATCGTAGCTGTATCACTTACAGGTTCTATGATCCTGAGTAGGCATCTCTGGGCCTGGGTTTCATGTGCAAAATGGGAGAAGTAACAGAATCTATATCTTGGGGTTACCATGATGGAACAGGATGGTGAGTGTATGGGGTGCAGCACTGCCTTGGACTGCAGGGAGGCCAGCAACTACAGTGGCTCCAACGCTTCCCACCTCCCCCTTCAGAGTCTCCAGACCCCAGGAAGTTCATCCTTGTCTTGCTTCACTCTGTCCTCTCTGGGACTCTGTCGAAGGGCTCCTGCCTGGGTGTCCAGGGGAGATTTTAAAGGGCCAGCTGCCCACGCAGCCCTGGACTGGGGTGAAAGGGGAAGCACAGGTGTAGGCTGCAGCCCGGCAGACTGAATTCTCAGTGAGGTTCTGTCCCCTGTGGTACTCTGACGGCAGATAGCATGATCTTAGACCAGCTGGCCATTGCCAGAGGTGGCAGTTCTCTCTGGGAATTTTAGATGGAGCTGTCCCCTAGTGCCCTAGGACATGGTGGTGGGGGTAGGTGTTAACCAGGGTTGGCTGGCCCCTCCCCCCACCCGCTTTGTTTGCAGGGTGGCAGGAATCCTGGGGACTGGTGGCTGGGTCTGGTCCAAAGCTCCTGCTGAATTCCTTTTCTGTGGAGTCACTGTGGTCTGGAAGGGCACAGCTCACCACCCCTGGTCTTTGCTGTCCTACCTCGGCTCAGCCCAGTTTCATAGGCCGGGCTGTTCCAAGCCCGGGTGGTGGGGGTGGCCACAGTTCAGGCTGTGGAGCCAGCTGGGGGTCAGCACACCTGGCTCCCAGGCCCATGGCCTCCTTGTGACCCCTTTTCTCCCATTTTCTTTACGGGATCTATACACTCTGGCATTTAAGGATTTTCTAAATTCACAGCCATTGAGAGCCATCCTGGAGATGGGATTGAAGCAGAAAAATTAGAAGAAAAGCTGAAAAATGCAGGGTTGTTGAGAGGTCTGGGATATTCAAATTTGGAAGCACTGTGCAGGAAGCTCACACTGTGGGAACCCACCAGGCAGGACCTGGGTGCTCTCTGCATGATGGAGAACCAGGTGTGAACCAGCTCCAATGGGATGTTGGTCAGCTCACCTTATCTGTCAGATCCTTGGTTTTTTCCCCAGTTAAGATATTCATAAGTCAGGTGTCTGTTCCCAGCAACTAGGGAGGCCGAGGCAGAAGAATTATTCAAGCCCAGAAGTTCAAGACCAGCCTGGGCAATATAGAAACCCCGTCTGAAAATAAATAAATGAATGAATAAAAATGTGCATAATAATAGTTTGTGCCTTGTAGACGCATGTGTAAAGTGCAGTGTAATGTATACACTAAGCGCCCAATCAGTGTTAGGTACTACTAACACTGCTGCAACTGTATCCTCAGAAATGTTAGTGGGCCTGAGGATGATTATCTTGTGTCCTGTGGGACCTGATCTGCACCTACAAACCCCTGCAGGGCAGTTCCGCTGGAAGGAGAGAGCTTTGCTTTTGTGTGGCTGTGGTGGGCAGAACCACATCAAGTGGAAGTTAATATGAGGAGTGACTGTATGGCTGAGGAATGTCTACAGGAGGAACACACCTCGGCCAGGAGTGAGCGTGTGTCTGCTGAGTATGTAAACAGGAGCTTGTATACACAGGGACATGGTTTTGGGGATGTGAGAATTGTGTGGGGAGTTGGACCCCATGGTAATCACCTCTGAGATTCTGGGGCTCTGGGGCCAGAACCTTCTGCTGTGTGAACTTCAGAATCCTGATGTACAGCATGAATCTCTGCCCTCTTTCAGGGCATACAATAGGGGCACCAACTGCCAGTTCTTCCCAGGGCCCTCTGCCGTGTCCCCCAGGACGCGGTGCTGGTACACCCTGCCATGCATGACCTCACTGTCACCTGCCAGTCCTAACATCAAGTGCTTTTATCCCCTTCTCAGTTAAAGAGACAGTGTCTCTGAGAGTTGCAGTACCTTGCCAAGGTCACACAGCTAACAAATGGCAGAGCTTGGATCTTGGTCAGGAGGCCTGGGGATTTTTTTTGTTTGTTGATTTGTTTTTTGAGACAGGGTCTCACTATGTATTCTCGGCTGGCTTTGAATTCACTGTGTAGCCCAGGCTGGCCTTGAACTACTGGAAATCCTCCTGCCTCAGCCTCCTAAGTGCTGAGATTATAAGTGTGAGGCCTGGGTTTTAAGGAGAGCAAAAGAAATGGACTCTCAGAGATCTCCTGTGTGGCTAACAACCTCCCACTTTTGGCTCCTTCCAGAGAAGCAGGCTGGATTACCCTTTACCTTTTACAGATGGGGTGACCCAGTCCTGAGCAGGTGAGGTGGGCTGTGAGCTCTCACTGTTTCCAACAAGTTGGGGAAAGCCAGGCATTGATTGGGAATAGAAAGCCTGTGACTGCTTGGCCTGGACAGTGAAGCTGTCTCTGTTGGGCTTCCTGCTGACTCCATCAACAGGCTCTACTTTGGGCTACCCTCTGGACCTCAGTTTCCCCATCTGTAAAGTGGGGGTGGTAGTGAAATAGCTCCTCTATAAGGGCCCTCCCAGCTCTAAGTCTAGGAATCCTGAGCCTGGCTGGCAGGGAGCCTGGAAAGACTGTCCCTGGTGACCCACTCAGCAGGTCATGGCCAGTACTAATGAGGGCAAGGTAGAAGGGAGGGCAGGGTCAGATTCCTCTAGAACTAATTAGCTTCTCACAGCGGGGGAGAGGGATGATGAAGGGAGGAATTTTCTCAGCTACTGACTAAGCTCCAGACCCTGGCCACGGGCTGAAACAGCCACCTGTCTGTTGATTCATTTGTTCTCGAATCCATTTATTCATTCATTATTTAAACAAGCCTAAGTTTCCTGCCGCCTGGGTCCCAGCAGGGAACTGGGGATAGAAAGAGAGATGGCTGCCTACAGTAAACTTAACAGGGGTCTGACCCCTGACCTCAGTCTCCTGACCGAATCTGGACCCACATCTGACCCTCCCCACCCCTACTTCCCAGAGGGACCTTGAGCACGGGCTATGGGCTGACCCCAACTTTGCCATCCTGGCTGTGTGACCTTGGGTCGGTTGCTTACAAGCCTCAACCTCAGTTTCTTCTGCAAAACACAGGCAAGTAATGCTTTGTCTCACAGAGTTCTTGTGAGGACAGAACGAAAGAATGCAATGTTCTGGTATAGTCACTGCTGAAATAAGCCCAATTCAATACTTTTCTGGTGTTAAAATATGTGGATTTTTAAATGAATATTTTAAGTAGAAAAGGGAAGAAATTCTGGAAGGATATAAAGCAACTGACAACAGTGGTAATTTCCTGATTGTGATATGTAATAATCAGGGATGAAGGGACACTTTCACTGTATAGCTTTTTATTTTTATAAATAAAATGTGAATGTATTGCCTGTTCTAAAAAGAAATACTGCTAGTGGCAATACTTCATAAAATCAAAGCAGTTTACTATGAGTTTGAAAGTGCAAAGGACTCTAAGAAAGGCATATAGGAAATGTCACAGGGGCTTGTTCATACATTCAGTGGTCATCACTGAGGGCTCACGTTATGCCGGGCACTATTCTAGTGGCCAGGGATAGAGTGGTAAACAAGTCATTCAAGACACTTGTCCCCTTAGAGCTATGCTAGGTGAAGAGACAGGTAATAAACAAGAAAACATATGAAGGAGACCATTTCAAATTGTGGTGAAAAAAATAAAGAAATCAGCTAGGAGCAGGGAAGGATACTCCAGAGAGGGGACTTTCAAACTCAGACCTCGGCCCCAAGAAGGAACCAACATGTAATGCCAACTGGGAAAAGACTGTTCAAGCAGTGGGAGCAACAAGTACAAAGGGCCTGGGGCAGGACACACTTGGCATTTTTAAGGGACAGAAAGAAAGCCAGTGAGCCAGAGTCTAGGGAGAGAGGAGAAAGGTGATGGGAGACAAGTCAGGGACTAGTGGGACCTTGACTTTCAGGCCGAGGAGTTAGGCGTAGGCGTCGTTTGGTGAAGTGCTGAGTCAACCTACAGGTGCAACCCAAGTGAAAGGCCAGTTAATCCTGAAGAGACAATCAGAGAAGGCTTCACAGAGGTGTGGCATTTGAATTAGGCTATGAAGGGTGGGTCAGGTGTCTTTATGAGAGCTGTTTCTAGGCAAGTGTAAAGATCAAATTCCAGAGGAAAAGGTCATGTGTAGGAGGGCACAGTGACCATCTGTGTGTCTGCATTCCCACGTGCTAACAGCCTCTGTCCCTCCCTGCAGCCTTGGGCCGGAGCACCAGCCTCACCGAGAAGGACCTGAAGGAGGCCAAGGCTCGGAGCCAGCAGATCGCAGCCCAGCTGACCACTCCCCCCAGCTCCAGCTCCCGGGGCGTCCAGCTCTTCAACAGGCGCCGCCAGAGGGTGAATGAATTCACTTGGGAGAGCCAAGGCCAAAGGAGACCGAAGCCCTGCCAGGAGACCCTCAGGGTGCTCCCTGTGCCCCCCCCCGGCCATGCTCCATGGTTCCCCCTGAGTTCACCTTCACCATCCAAGCCAGGCCTTCCAAGGCACCCCAGCCCCCAGATCCCCAGCAGAGGGGTCCCTAGCCACAGCATGGAGGGGTACTCAGAGGAGGCCAGCTTGCTGCGGCACCTGGAGAAGGTGGCCAGTGAGGAGGAAGAGGTGCCACTGGTGGTATATTTGAAGGAGAACGCAGCCCTGCTGACAGCCAATGGGCTTCACCTGTCCCAGAACCGGGAGGCCCAGGAGTCCCCACCAACTCCTCCTCCAGCTGAGGTCCACAGTCCAGCTGCAGATGTCAACCAGAACCTGTCCTCACCCAGCACCACGATCACCACACCAGCTTCTAACAGCAACTGCAACCTGCTGGCCACAGACATCAATCAGAACCCTCCAGTAACTGTCATCCCACAGAGCCCTTCGCTTTCTGGGGTCCAGCAGAATTCTCCTGCTGCACAGAACATAACAAATGGCACAACACCTGAGTCCAAAACCAGCGCCCCATGTGCTGATGGGCCACCCCAGGCGCCGGTGGAGGAGGTGATATCCAGTGTACTCCTAATTGATAAGGTATCTACTCCACCGACTACTACCAGCACCTTCTATAGAGAAGCTACTCCCATCCCCAGCTCTGAGCCTCCAGGTCCAGACTTCATGTCCAGCTCCCTGCTCATCAACATCAAGCCCAGCACCCTAGTGATGTCAGCAGAGCCTGAGATGTCTGGGCGGGCACCTGCCACCACACCCACCAAGGTGTACAGTGAGGTCCACCTCACACTGGCCAAGCCTCTATCAGTGGTCAACAGGACGGCCAGGCCCTTTGGGATCCAGGCACTAGGGGGCACCAGCCAGATGGAGCAGAGTCCCATGGTGCAGAGGCGACATCTTGGGGAGAAAGCCCCGGCTCCCCAGCCCCCCAGCGTGGTAGACAGGAGTCCCCGGCCTCAGAGACATGTCATGTCCTACAGCCCCATGGTGGAGAGGAGGCTGGTGGGGCAGCGAAGCCCGGCCCTGGAGAGACGGCCCTTGGGGAACTTCACCCCTCCTCCCACCTACGCGGAGACCCTGTCCACAGCGCCCCCAGCTTCCCGGGTGCGGTCTCCCCCTTCTTATTCTGCCCTGTACCCTAGCTCTGACACCAAGCCTTCCCATCTGAAGGGCCAGGCAGTTCCCACCAGCAAGACGGGCATTTTAGAGGAGTCCATGGCCCGCCGGGGCAGCCGGAAATCCATGTTCACTTTCGTGGAGAAGCCCAAGGTGACCCCGAACCCAGACCTGCTGGATCTGGTCCAGACGGCCGACGAGAAGCGGAGGCAGAGGGACCAGGGGGACACGGGTGCAGAGGAGGAGCCCTTTGCGCTTGGGGCTGAGGCTTCCAACTTCCAGCAGGAGCCGGGCTCTCGGGAGAGAGCCAGTCCCGCGGCGGCCGAGGAGGCTGTCCCTGAGTGGGCCTCCTGCCTCAAGTCGCCTCGCATCCAAGCCAAGCCGAAGCCCAAACCCAACCAGAACCTCTCGGAGGCCTCTGGGAAGGGCGCGGAGCTCTACGCGCGCCGCCAGTCGCGGATGGAGAAGTACGTCATCGAGTCTTCGGGGCACGCTGAGCTGGCCCGCTGCCCTTCGCCCACCATGTCCCTGCCTTCCTCCTGGAAATACTCCACCAGTGCCCCTGGGGCCTTCCGAGTGGCGTCCCTGAGCCCCGCGCGGACCCCGCCGGCCTCCCTCTACCACGGCTACCTGCCTGAGAACGGCATCCTGCGCCCAGAGCCCACCAAGCAGCCGCCCTACCAGATGCGGCCTTCGCTCTTTGTCCTCTCGCCCATCAAGGAGCCCAGCAAGGCCTCAGCCCGAGCGCCACGAGCGGCCTCATCCAGAGCGGCCTCGGCCCGAGCTGCCTCCCCACGAGCTGCCTCCCCTGCCAAGCCGAGCTCCCTGGACCTGGTGCCCAGCCTTCCCAAAGCCGGGCTCCCGCTGTCTCCGGCTCTGCGTCGGCCCTGCCGCTCCTCGCCGGGCCTCTGCGCTTCCTCTGGCCAGGACGGCCTGCAGCCCACGGCTGTGAGCCCCACCTACAGCAGTGATGTCTCCCCCGTGTCTCCCTCCAGGGCGTGGTCTCCCCGAGCCAAGCAGGCCCCCAGGCCCTCGTTCTCCACCCGGAACGCAGGAATCGAGGCTCAGGTGTGGAAGCCTTCCTTCTGCTTCAAGTAACAGTCTTCCCACGGGGTCCCACTGCCGGTCCACGCCCCTTCTCCAAAGGCCGGGAAGAGCAGACCGGGCAGGAAGCAGCACAGGGCCTGTCGAGGAGGATGAGGCGTCCATGGCTCAGGGGCTGCCACCGCCTCTGGAGCTGCAGCCGGCCTCTTCCCGCCTCTAGGGGGCCTGGGCACCGTGCGGGGAGGAGGGTCACGGAGTGAGAACTCTCCTGGCGCCCTGAAAGGCTGAGGGTGTCCTTTGGCCGTGGTGAGAGGCATAGTGGCAGAGTCTGAGGCCAGCGTCTTGCTGGGGAAAGGTGATGTCAGGAGGGGGCTCTCATGGGACCTTTGGAGCAGACAGCCTGCCAGTGCCTGTGGAGTTCTTCAGTCAAGGGCTTGCCTCCTCAGCTGCCCTCCCTCATGCGCTACTGGCATCTTACCTTCTGTTGCTGGATTCGCATCTCCGTGGGCCTGTCTCTTCCCCTCTGCCTCCTGGACACCGATTCTTCTCTGCTGCTTCAGAGAGCTTCACCTGCCTCCACTTTTCCTCCTCTCCTGGGTTCTGTGGATTCGGACTCAGCCTACGCTGCTGATTCTTTGCTTCCTACCCCTCCTCTACACCCTCTCAGGACCCAGCTGCACCTCAGTAACTCCTGGCCCCACCCAGCCCTGCTTCTACCTAGCTTGCCCTCACTGTTTCGGGGGCGGGGGCATCCCAGGATCCCTGAGAGAAGGAGAACCCTGAGGAGGGCTGTGGGGGGAGTGGGGGTGGTAGGAAAGCAGCCCCTTAGTGAGGTATCTGTGAGATGCTCTGAGTTAACCTCAGCCAAGAGCTCCCTGACTGAAAGGAGCCATCTCAGTGCAGTAGGGAAAATGCCCCAGGGAGAGAGGGAGGGAGAAGGAGGGAGGTTCTGGGGCCCTCTGCTTTCCCTGTGCTGGGTGAGTCTGGCCACTTTTCCTCTCTGGGGCCATTCTCTCATCTATACAAAAGGCTCTTCGAGTGGAGATGATCTGGAAGTCTGAAAAGATAGGCTGGTACTTTGGAAGAAAAGCATTGTAGGTGGAAAGATTGTCCCCTGGGAAGAATGGAAAACAATGTCCATGCAGGTCAGAGTGAGTTGTCTGTGAGGGACCTGGTGGGTGTGGTTGGAATGAGCTGCTGCAGGAGGCTGAAGGATCAGAAGCTTGGGTGGGGATGGCCGCCACTTGGGATTTTTTGGAGTTAGTCAGGGGAACATGAGTGTCAGGGCAGGTGCACGGCAGCTTTGAGGGGAGGCATACAGAAGACTAAAGTCTAAGTCTGGGACTGAGACCTAGATTCAGAAAGACTGACTGCATGCCTATCTTTGGGTCTTAGTTTCCCCATCCAGAGAGCGAGGATGTTGAATGAGGTAACCTGAGATCCTCAGCCCCTCCAGCCCCTCTGATGTGATGCAGGCCCCAAAACAAGGATCTGTGGGGTGTGAGAATATAGACACAAGAGTCAGGATTTGGATGGAAGCTTCCCAAGACCGGGGGCTGAGGGCCACCCACTTCCTCTTTCCAGCCCTATTTCTGGGCTCCTCAGAGGAGAGAAGGGTGGTGGAGGCGGTGCCCATGCTGGGCTGTGCCTGCAGCTTTTATGAGCTCTGGGCTCGTCTCCATGGGAACAGGGGTGCTTGCTCAGTGAGCTCATTCTACACATCAAAATGAGGGGTGTGGGGGGCAGCTGTGAGGGAGCTCAGCACCTCATGCCAGGTCCCTCCTGCCTCCTGCTCTCTTGGGCCCCAGGAGGGGGCCAGTGTGGAAAAGCCACTTCTATCCTGCAGCTCCTGCCGCCAGGCTGAGCTCTTCCCCCGACTTTGTTTTCTGTCCTGTTCTCAATACACTCTGCCTCAAATCCGTCTTGCTTCTTTCTTTCTTCTACACTGCTGCTGCCTACCAAGGGTCAGGGCTCCCTCCCTGCTCCCTGGTCTGGCCTGGGTCTCGGAGTTGGACTGCTCAGCAACTGTGTGTGAAAGTGCAGCTGTGAGCTCATGTGCTGGCCACATCTGCTGTGTGTCTGGATCTTGGGGTGGGGTGGGGCTGGTGGGGCATTGGAGGTAGGGGCTCCCTCCCAGGCCAGCCCTCAGGGCACCCAAACCCTGTGCAAGTCACTTTCTGTCTCCCCTTCCCTCAGAGGCTGTGGAACATGGGGAAACACTTAGGGCCCAGGTTTCTTTCGGTTCTTTAAAAGCAGAACGGAATGCCTTTTGCCAGGTAGGTCACTATCCAATTTGCTCAGGCCTCCCTTTTCCTCTTTACCGAAATCTGGCTATCTCCCACATTCATTTGCATCACTGCCTGGCTCCCAAAGGCACAGTGTCCTCAAGACAGATGGAGAGGAAAGAACTGCCAGATTGGTTCCTGGTTCTTGTGCAAGCTTGCACAGCCCTTTCCTGTCTCAGTTTCCCCTTCTGTGCAACAATAGGCTTGCAGAAAGTGGTCTGGGGGCTGTTTGCACTCTGTTAGTACCTGCTGCCTCTGGTCTGCTTGTGCCTTCACCACACACAGGGCCCTGGGGCTGGGCTCATTGGGTGTTGCTTTCTGAGTTTTCACCCACTGCATTTCCAAGGAGTCCAGTATGTATGTGCATTGAGCTCTTTGCCAGAAAGTGAACAGTTCTGATTTCCTGCAGCCTCTTTGGATTGTGCACTGCCCCCATACACTCAATTCCCGGACATGGCAGTTAGTCTGAGGTCAGGCTCTGGCCCACCTCCAAATGACAAGGAGCTGCTCATCACTGCTCCCCAAATGCCAGCCCATGTGTGAGCCATTCCAGGCTGTAGTCTTGCCTGAAGTCTCTTACTCCTTCCACAGTTGGACCTGGCAATACTCTTGTAGCCATGACAGGCAGAGACAACACATAAGATTTTTAGACAGGTATTATAGCTCCTCCTGGTCTAGCCTCCTCTTCTTGCTGAAGAGTACTGGCTTCTCTGCCTCAATGGTGTCGACTGGCTAGGGTCATGAGCTCCTGTCCCCACCTGCCCTCTAAGGGTGGCACACTTGCCGGATATTGGAACATGGCTGAATATCCCTGATTTGGCATTTAGCCCCAAATTCTGGTGTCAGACTTTAGTCATGGGCCTGGGACCTCCTTCCCAATCTCCTCTCCCTAAGTACCCGGGTTTACCACTTACAGTGACCTGATTGTAGGCTTCTTGGGATGTATCACAGACAGAGAAGCTCTTGAGGTCGCTGACTCACATACACAATTCTGATGCTGGGAGTAAAAGAGAGGTCTCATACTGAGCCTTAACCTCCCCGCTTGATGACTGGGAGCTTGTAGTCCCCTGGAGGTCATCGGAGCATTACCATCCCATGACATTTCCTGTTGACATAGTTGCATAGCATTCCTCTTTAGGTTAAAGGGCTCCAATTCTGAGTCTGGGCTCATCTAGTAACTGCAGGATTCTGTTTGGAGACTATATACAATCTTCCTTTTGATGGAGAAACTAGATTCTCAAATTGAAAGGAATGACTGCTTGGCCAAGGCTGATTGCTGATTGGATGAAAGAATGGATCTTGTTGATGGTTCCAGACTTTGAATGGTAGGGGCCACTGAATGGAGGGGCTAGCTCAGGACTCTGATGGGTGAATGACTGCTGGTGAACTTGTATTGGATTGGGAGGCCAAGTGGCTGGAATTTGACTGAATAAGTAGTTGGAAGGTTTAGAAGACGCATACTAAGCATGGATTCCCAAGTCCTGCACTTTCAAACCAGTTAAAACTGGTAGTCTTTGAGCAGCAGAAAGTCACACATTCCCTTGTATGCAGCACATGCACACATGCCCTCGTACAGCAGAACACACTGGGCTGTTACTGACACCTCTGAGCTTCATTTTCATCATTAATAAAATGGGTGGGACAGCTGGGGATTTAGCTCAGTGGTTCTGCCATCTGCCTTAAAAGTGCAAGATTCCGGATTTTTTTTTTTTGGTACCGGGGATTGAACTTGGGACCTTGTGCTTGTCAGGCAGGCAGTGGAACCACTGAGCTAAACCCCTGGCCCAAGATCCCGGTTTTGACCCCCAGTACCCCCCCACACAAAAAAAGGGTGGGCCAGTGCCAGCTTCCTCACCAGTCTGTTGTGAGGAATCAATGAGAGCTACAGGGTGGGAGTGAGCCTTGAGACTGGAAAGTCCTTAATTAGATAAGAAACAAGTATGGCACCACATAGCAGAGCATAACTCGCAACCTGAAAGATGTCACCATCTCAATCCATGTTCTGCTTCCCTCTCCATGCAGGCAGGAGGGTTGGGGAGGAACAAACCAACTTCTCTCTGTGTTTCCATGAAGGTAGGAACTTCCTCTCTGCTCAGGAATCCATGGAAAAATGAGGAGGGGACCATGGCAACATAGCAAGGGGTTTGGGGCTGCGAAGGTCGTTCACTATGACCAACTTTAATAATAATAGTTTGGAAGATCATACATCCCTATGGTTCAAAAATCAAAACATAAAGTAATACCTTAAAAAGCTTGATCCCATCCCCTGTGGCTGTGTGCCCTGTCCCTCTCTGCCCCATTCCCTAAAAAGGCAAGTACTTTGGTTAGTTTCATGTGTATCCTTCTAGCAACTCTTAACGTCTATTGTGCACTTTCCTCCAAGTATGTGAACACATTTCGCGCTCTTTCACGCGAGTTAATTTCTATTCCTCCAGAGCCTAAAGAGCACCCATTTTGCGGAAGAGAAAACTGAAGTCCGGAGGGAAGAAGCAGCTTGCCCTGCTCACCCAGAAAGTTAAGAGTCGGTCTCCAAGGCGAGCATTCTTAACTTCTAGCTATCGGCCTCACTGTTCAACGCAGGAGCTGACACTAGTAGCGTGAACTCTTTAAAACATTTGGGGCTGGGAGTTGGGTCACCTGCCTTTTACTGCAGGCTCTACCTGACTTTGGTCTGTCCCTTCCAAAACCCAGTTTCAACCCGGGGTGTGGTGGCACTCATGCCTGTAATCCCTGCACTCTGGAAGCTGAGGCAGGAGGATCGCCAAGAATTCGAAGCCAGCCCGAACTACATAGTGAGACCTTGTCTCAAAAACAGAAACCCCTGTTTTCAGAGGACCGAAACACTAACGCCTGCCCCCACCCTCTGCTCTCTCCCCAGGACCGCCGGGAGAACCTGCCTACCTCCCCGCCCTGGACGACCGCCGCGTCCCGGCCCCCCAGCAGCCTGGATGGCTGGGTGAGCCCGGGGCCGTGGGAACCAGGACGCGGGAGCAACATGAGCAGCCCCCCGCCGCTGCCGCCGCCGCCGCCCATGTCCCCCTCGTGGAGCGAGCGCTCCGTGTCCCCGCTGCGACCCGAGATCGAGGTGCGTCCCCCCAGCCGCCAGCTGCAAGCGCTCCTGGCGAGGAACATCATCAACGCGGCCCGGCGCAAGAGCGCCTCCCCGCGGCCGGCGGGCGCCGAGAGTCTGCGACCCTTCTCCCCGCCCAAGGTGCCGCCGGTGCCGCCGGTGCCGCCGCCGCCGCCGCCGCGCATGCGCTCGCCGCAGCCGGTGCGCCCCAGCGCAGGGCCTTCCTGCTTGGCGGCGTTTGCTCGCGTCCAGCGCAGCTCTCTGCAGGCCGCGCCTTCGTCCTGCACCGGTCCCCGGAGCCCACTGCCTGCGCCGCCTAGGCCTCTCCCCTACCGCCGCTCGCCCACGGACTCTGACGTGTCCCTGGACTCCGAGGACTCCGGGGTTAAGTCTCCGGGCATCCTTGGTTACAACATCTGTCCCCGCGGGTGGAACGGCAGCCTGAGGCTCAAACGCGACAGCCTCCCCGCTGAGGCTTCGTGCAGCACCTAGAGCCCCAGCTCCACCCCGGGAGGGCAAGCCAGAAACGTCACCAGGCTTCGGGGACCCAGCACCGCCACCCGGAGGGGTCCGGCCTCTAGATAGCCTCAGACATAAGGGGCCAAAGGAGGAGGGAGTAGGGGCCCAAGCTGGGGTTGGTTGTGTAACCGAACTGTTTGCTGCGTGGCACGACTCTGTCCCAGTCGGACGCGCAGCTTTCCCATTTGTTTAACGTGGCCTTGGACAAGACAGTCTGCAAATGTCTAAATTTCCCCTTCCATCAACACACACATTTGTGCCTTAAAGGAGGCAGTTGTGTGTGCATACGGACCCTTGGTCGAGCTGTGTTTCAGGTTCCATGCCCCTTCCTCCTCACTCTGCTCTAGAGTCTGGCAAATGAGCAGTGTCAGGACTGAAGCCATGTCCCAAGTCCAGGCCCTGGCTTGACCATCCTGCTCCCTGGCACCGAGATTTAGGAGCAGCTGTTTTCCACCCCTTCTCAGAGAAGGTCTATTTTTACCCAGTGACCTTTAGAGAGATCCCCCAGGCCAGTTCAAGGTGCCTTGCTGGCTTCTGTGGAGAGAAGAGACAGGACATTCTCCCCAGGCCATGTCATGATACTTTCTCCACCCCAGCTCAGCCTATCCAGGGAGGAGCACTGTAAAGCAATGACTTTCCTCAGGCTTACCTTTGGGCCTCCAGGCCATCAGTCGCTTCTGGACCCATTCACGACAGGCTCTGGGTTCAAAGCTGAGGGAAGGAGGAAGAGTTACTGAACTACCTGTGGCCTTGCATGCTTGGCCTCAGTTGGGGGTCCCTATTTGGAAGGAGGGAGGCAGAGCTTTCCTTGTTAGAGACAGTGTGCAAGCCATGGCCAGGATGCATAGAAGTATAGCAGGGATGGCATTGGCTCAGATGACCAGTGAGGGCTCTTCCATGCTGAAATGTGTTCCATGGTATTAGGAAGTGGGAAAGAGTGGTGGTGGAGGGTCTGGCCTTGAATTCAGGGCAGATGACCTTGAGTGGGGAGGTAAGAGGTTAGGCCAGACCCTGCCTGTGTTTCTGGCCATCTGGGAAGTGTCCCCCTCTTCAGTTTCTGTCCCCAGCCCCAGTGTCCATATCACACTCAGAAGAGTGGACACCACCCCATCCATCTCTTTCCCATCACTTGCTGGCCTGACTCATGCCTGGTACCCAGTGACCTTGGGAAGTCTGGCCACAGCTCCTAGCCTGTTCCTTATACCTTAGTGGCCATTTCCGATCCCCAGGAGAGACCTGGGGAGGCAGAGTTCTGTAATTTCCAGAGTTGGCTAGTGGTGCCCGCTAGAGATTCAGGATGTCAGCTTCAGGATACTTGGAATGGGTGAGTGGTGGGTGGCTGGAATTGGCCATGGATCAAATGTGGGTGGGTGAAAGCATATCAGGATGTTACTAGAGGTGAGCGACAGAGTGTGCTTCGGGTTAGGAGAAGACTTCCCCAGCCATCAAGGTGACGTTAGACCTGGAACCCCTGAGTGAGGCTAGGGGAAGCTGGGTCAAGATGAAAGAGAGTCAGGGTTGGGTGGGGGCACTTTGGAACAACCGAGTAATATTAGTGGTGTCCTACGGCCTAAGGGCCGGGGACACAGGTCCCGTTCGGGGGAAGGTGAGAAGGTGTTCCTGCTTAGTTAATAAGGAGCTACCACATTTACCAAAGTCCTTGCCTGCTGAAGGGTCTCTTGTAGCATGGGAGACAGGGGTTAGAGTGCCTCAGAGAAGGGACATGATCAGGCCTTTGGCTGACTAGCACAGAGGATCCATTTCTTCCTGCATTTCCCAAAAGGGCCAGCAAGAGGCAGCCTTGGGAAAACGCAGCTCTGTCCTGAGCTGTCCTCTCATGGGAACTTCCTTCTCTCCTGCTCGCTTCTCTGACACACCAGAGCTTGCCTGTGTGCTGCCTCTGCCTCCTGTAGAATTCAGCTCAATAAATGCTTTCTGAAATCTTTGGTCTCCTGTGTCATTTTAGGCTTGCCCTTAGCCCCTCCCTTTTCCCCAAGTAGGGAACAGTCCCCAGGACTCTGGATAGATGGGACTGTCTGAGACACCTGGGCTGGGAGCTTGGGAATAACAGCTATGAGGAGAGATGGAGAATGACAGAAAATCTTGGGGGCACAGAAGAAGTCACTGGGTTGAAGTCCTGACTCGCTAGGTGGCCCTGGGTGAGCCTACTCCTTTGGGTCTCATCTCCCATTATCTGTGTAATGTGAGAGTTGGACTAGGTAAGGTCTCAGGGTGGCACTGTCACTGGACTGTGCAGGGTCCAGAAGGTCAGGGCCCAGTACCCTGGGGCTACTTCCTCATAGCAGCAGGTCAGAGTCCCAGGTAGGATGAGGAACTACTATGAGAGGTCACATCTGAGTCCAGGCAGCCCTAGTGAGGCCAGACCCAGACCACTGGGAATCGCCCTCTCCTGATAGGGTGCCCTTTCCCTGCAGAAGGGGACTTTGGTCCCATTCCCACATGTCTGCCCCTGGGATATTCCTTGTCTTTCCTCTGTAGAAACTTGGGCCTGTCAGAAACCTGGCAGAGGAACCCAACGGGCAGGCAGCTGGGCTCAGGGCTGACACACCAGAGGCCCAGCTTCAGTCCTGACCTGGTGTCTAAATGCATCCTGGAACTGTCTGCATGGACACAGACATGGGTTCTCCTCACCCTCCACCCAGGGCACCCTTGGGATGTTGGGAACGATTTGTGTCCCTCTGACTGATCATAACCTCGGCTGGAGCCTCTTCTGAGTGTGGTCCGCTACTGCCTGCTGTTGATTGCACCCTAATGCCAGATGCCCCACACTGAGTTCATCCGAAGTTGGGTGTGGTGGTGCACGCCAGTAATCCCAGCCTCGGAAGGAAGACTGCCATGAGTTTGAGACCAGCCTGGGCTACATAGTGAATTCAAGACCAGCCACAACTATAGAAGTGTGTATTGAGACCCTATCTCAAAAATAAATACATAAAACAAAACACTGAGTTTGTCCCAAACACAGCTTGGCATCTGTCCCCTACAGCGGCCTGCTCCTCCCTACTGCCCACCTCAGCCCCCCAAACCAGCCTCAGCTTCTCCCTTTCCCTATCTCCCACTTCCAATCCCTTACTATGACATGGAGATCGTCCAGGTACCCTCCATGCCCTTTCCTCCTCTCCACGAACTCTGTCCCTGCCACAGCCTGGCCACTCCCAACTCTCACCTGCCTGTAATCCCAGCCTTCAGCCTTTATTCTGGTCTGGTCCAAGCCCTTGGCAGCCAGAGGTGTCTCTGGAAACTTCCAGTCTGACCCCTCTGCTCCACCTGTTTAATCTCTTCAGCAGCCCTTTGGAACTCAGTTTCTCTTTGAAAAGGTTGCTAGGATCTGACCCCACCCACTTGTCTGGCCTCAGCTCTCAGCACTGCCCAACAGCCCCTGGCTCTACCTGCCCACTTTACATGTGCTATGTCCTGTGTCCACAATGCCCTCACCCCCTCTCTGCCCAGTGAACGATCGCTCATCCTTCAAGGCCCAATTGCATGTGGCCTCCTCCTCTGGGAAGCCTTCCAAACCTCCAGGCCAAACTTGCTCCCAGCCTCTCCCAGAGCCTTTCTTTTTTCTTTTTTTTTTGTACCGGGGATCGAACTCGGGACCTTTTGCTTTCAAGGCAGGGGGCGGGACCACTGAGCTAAATCCCCAGCCCCCAGAGCCTTTCCCATGATGCATCAGTAAGACTTGTTTACTGGTCCAAATCTGAGTTGGGTGAGGTCCTTGAGGACAGAGTCCTGACTTATTTATTTTCAGCCCATAGAGAGAGGCTTAGAGAATGTGAGAAGGTAGAAGGAGGGAGGGAGGGAAGAGGAAAAGGAAGAAAGGATACAGAGATATTGGGGGGCAATCCACCCATCCATCCATCCAGCCAGCCAGCCATCATTTATTCCACAAGTACCAATTGAGTTCCTGTCATGCACCATTCCAGGCCCTAAGAATACATCAGTTAATAAGCTGAAGTGGCCAGCAGCTGACAGCATTTCCAGGTAACTCCAATATGTGCATATGTGAGTGTGAGCACCTATGGATGCAAGCCCTTCTATCTGCAAGGGCCTGCTGCCAGGGCACCTGTCTTCCCTAGGCCCTGGTGCTTTTAGCATCTGGCCCCAGCTCCTGTTGCAGCCTGAAATAAGGCTGTGACCCACGACAAGGCAAGAATGATTCTTGTCAGCTGAAGCCAGAGCTGGCAGGGCACCACCCACTCACTGACCGCTGACCGCTGACTGCTGACTGTGACAGACACTGACCACACAACTCAGCTTCTCGACAGAGGTGTTAATCTTGAGGGTCGGACACTCCGTCCTGCCCACCGTGGTCCCGTCCTCTCAGGTACCAGAATCCAAGGGGAACTTAGACATTTATGGGGAGTGGGTCGGGGGGACTAGGCAGCTCCCAGAGCACCTTTTGCTCCAGTTGAGGCAGGGCCCTGCAGAGGATTGGGGGAGTATAGGGCCTCCTAGAAACCTGGCCCCTGGGCTGGGAGGAGGGAGCCCTAGCTCTAGGCTACTCTCCATGAAATAGCAGAGCAGGTGACTGCAGTTAAAGGTGGGGGGTAGGTGCTGGGTTTGCTCAGGACACTGCAGTCATAGGCACTGGAAGGAAGCAGCCTGCTGCTTGCCAATTAGAGACCTTCCCCAGTGCTAGGGGATTCTGGGAAGGGGAGCATTTATCCAGAAACAGCTCTGTGGACCGTGGCAGTCTTAATGGTGACAGCTGGGCATTATCAGTCATCTCATGCCCCTCTCTCCAAAAGCATGAAGATGCACTCAGGTTTACATACTGTTTTAGTTCATGGATGCCCTGCAGCCCATCATGGATCTCTGTGATTTAGCCTAACCCTCTTCAATTACAGGGGGGAAACTGAGGCACAGAGTTGGAGAACCAGCTCTCCAATTTTGGAGGAATTCCAAATTTTGTTCATAATTTTGGAGGCAGTCAAGGGGACCGATTGACTCAGGTTGCCCAGCTCAGTGTCCATTGACCTGGGGCCCCATGCAGGTATGGGAGGCACAGATGGAGGCAGTGATTCCTGGAGGAAGGGGCATGGAAAACCTGGTGGACTTTCAGGGACCTGGAGGGCTCTGAGCCTCAGCTGGGGACAGTTGAGGACTCTGGAGTTGGGGCCTGCAGGGTTTCTCTGGAGCTCTGGGGCTCACCCGACTTGTAAATCTTCTCCAAGATTCCTGGAAAGTGCCATGAGATGAAAAGTGGGTGGAGGAAGAGGAAGAGAGGGAAACAAATACATCATGGAAATTAGCTGGGGATGGAGAGACAGCTCTCACTTTGTTGGACCAGCCCCTGGGAAGAAAGTGTTTCTTAGCAACATGGACCCTGACTTGTGTGACCTCCAGCACCTGTCCCATCCTCCCTGGGGCTCAGTCTCCTCCTCTTTACAAAGTGACCTCAAATAGATCCCTCCTTGCTTGTGACTTTGGGAGGGGGCTAGGTGGACCAGAGACTTAGGGAGAAAGAGGTCTGGGGAGGAAGGGAGGTGACCTAGCTCATTTGTGGGACCTTCCCCTCCACAGGATGATTCCCAAGGAGCAGCACGATCCAGCAATGACTGTCATGGGGGACCTCACTGGGCCAGGTAAGGGGGGCCTAGCCCTGTGCTTTCTTCAAACTGCTCTCTTGGTCCTGGATTGCAGCCACTCAGGCCCACTGGCCCCGGGCCTGGCAAATAGGTGTGAATTCCAGAGCAACTGGAGGGCGAGCCTGTGGAATCTGCTACCTGGGCTGTGGTCCTTCCTGAGATTCTGGAGGGGCCTGACCTTACTCCATACACTGGGAGCTGAGGTTGAGTGCCCCAGACTGTGCCACAGCTCCAAGGTGACCGTGGCCCTAGCCCTAGCTCGGCCCTTCCTGCTACCCCAGTTTGAGCTCTTGGGTCTCTGGCTCCAGATGCAGCCCTCACTGTGGCCAGAAGCTCACGGTATACCTGCCCTTGCTCCGTGTAACTCTAGGTCTTACTGAGGCCTGAGCATAGCCCTGGCTGACCGCGCCCCAGGGGACCTCGGCTGGGGTAAAGAGCAGAGAAGGCTACCCACCTGGACTTAAAAGCTGGTGCATATAATGACAAAATTATCTAAAATCCATGTTTCTCAACTTTAAATGATCACATCGGGAACTTCTGCTATAATTTTGGAGTCTGTTTATTTAGACTACTTTAGAGCATTTCAAGTAATTTAAAAATCTACTACATTGTGCTTTCAAGCGTTAGAGTAAAGGATGGTAGCTTCGTGTTGTTAATTAAAAATACAGATGCCTGATGCCTGTTCCCAAGACTCCGATTTGGTGGACCTGAGGTGGAACCTGCATGTCTGCCTTTCGAATAAGGTTCCAGGTGGCTCCAGTGCAGGTGACCTGAGCAAGCTCTGATGGACACTTGTACAGGAGCCTCCATCAGAGCGCTAAGATATCAGTCAGGTCGTGTGACTCCATATGTATGTGGTCCTTTTAACCTATTTTGTATGTTCTTCCCTCTTTTTGGTGATGCCCTATTTCTTTTCCCTCCGTGATTTTCTGTGCTGAAATATGCCAACTTTGTGAAGTATTCATGCCCTAAATGGAAGAGTCAGGCAATGCATTCTGTTTCCTCTTGTCTAGATAATTAGTTATAGACCTCCCCAACATCACTCATGCCATACTTCAAACATATAACTTGTTGATTATTACTAAAGGCAATTTTGAGATGAAAAATAGGAAGGAAAAATAAATCTTATGGTCTCGCCACCTAAAAATAGCCATTTGAGATAATAGTAATAACAAAGCCTTATCCTTATTACCTGGTTACTGTGTGTCAGATACTGTGCTAGGAGCTTATCTGCCACATATCCTTTGAGCCTCACTACTATGTATTATACCCCTTTAGCAGATGATAAATCTGAGGCTCAGAGGAGCTAGGTCATCACACATGTGGTAAGTAGTAGAGCTAGAATTTGACTTTAGGTCTCTGTCTCCAGAGCTGCGTCTCCTATATGGTTATATAAATAACATATTCATTTTTTAAAATATTCAGACTACACACAAATGAATTGCTTTGAAAAAGTTCCTCATAATGGAACCATACGGAGATAACCACTGTTAGCATATTTGTACAAATTCTTCTGTTTGTAGATCACATATTTATCTAAACACATATCCACATAGGCTAAATACTGTGTCTGTGTTCCTCAGATCGCTTTCTTTTGCACTTAGCAGCACAGCACAGCCATCTTTTCAGCCTGGCATACTGTCTCGCACGGCCTCCTTCCCCTCTGTGCCCCAGGGTGCCACTATCTGGACAAGTTGTGTGCCTGTGACCACCCCTACTGGGGCCTGAAGGCTGGTCTGGGTGGGACCCTCAGGAGTAGGACCTGAGGAGTCTTGTTCAAGTGACCGGTTGAGGGGGTTCTCTCCAGAGAAGGGAGGGAGGGAGGCAGGAAAGGGCAAGAGAAATCGCTAAGCAAGACTGAGGCCCAGCTATAGTACAAGTTCAGTGTGTGGCTTTTGAGGGGCTATGGAGCATGAATTCCTCTGTAGAATTCACCTGCTGGGTAAAAGGAGGCAGCAACTTCTGTTCTCCTGAGCTTTCCTCTGTAGAACTTGTGCACCGTTAGCCACTAATCAAGGGCATTTAGGCAGCCTCCACCCCAAGAGTGATCCCCCAGTTTTCACAATTTTAGATCCCACTGTAACAAACATTCTTGCACATGTTTGTTCATCCCCTTCCCTAAGAATGAATTCCTAGAAACAGAATTAGTCAGATAGGTTTTATCTTAAAAACAAAACAAAACAAAACTGATGAGCTTAGTTCATCTGCACAGAAGAATATGACGGGGTGGGGGGGAGCAATTTTTATTATGTATTCATGTCTTCTTTTGCATTTTTAAGAATTCAGTACACTTTCTTGTTAAAAAGAACAACAAACAGCATAGACAACTCCTAGCCCTCTTCCTTCCTATGTACCATAAATAGCCACTGCTAATATTTGGCATGTCTACTTGCCAAGCCTTTAAAACCATACACATATGCCCATGTTTGATTTACAAATGGAATCTTAGAATACATTTTCTTCTGAAACTTGCCCTCCCCCACCACTTACCCTACAGTAGACATCTTTATGCTCTTAGCATTTATAAAGTGCTCTTTATATATTTGTTGAACGAATGAAAATAAAAAGGCCACCTCCTTTTCTCAGTGGCCACTTAGGGACTCCACAGAATGGAATGAACCACAGCACACTGTGCCCCTTAGTGCCTCTGTAGGCACATTCGTTTCCGCAGGGTGTGGCTCTTGGTGGCGGTCTCTTAGTTGACCTCGGCAACCTCTCTCCTCTCTTCATGCCTCCACTACCTCCTTCCACATCTTCATTTTCAGCTAATGACCCTGCTTCATGTTTCACTGGGAAAAACAAAGTAGCTAAAATGGAACATCTTCAAGTTCCTTCTGCCACATCTGTCTACTTGCTAGCACCTTATTTTGTTATTTTCTTTCCTGCGAGGGTGGGTGGACTATTCTCATACCTGTCTGGGCCAACCCTTCTAGCTGGGCATGAGACATCCTGCCTGCCCACCTTGAGCTCAAGGACATTCCTTCCAGAATTCTCCTCTCTCTCCTGCATTGTCCAAGTTCCCATGGCCAACACATATGCCATTTTCTCCTCTTCACGAAGAGCGCCTCTTGATCCCACTGATGCCTGTACCACAGTCTTTTAAAGCCCAGCCCTTCCAAGTAGTTATCTATATTTTTCTTCCAATTCTCTCTCTCTCTTTTTTTTGGTACTGAGGATTGAACTCGAATCCTTGTGCTTGCACAGCAGGCAGTGAAACTCATTCTCTTTTTAATATTTATCATGCCTGTGTCCAAACACACACAAAAGTGGGGTGCAGAAGTCCCTATGGTCCCTCCCTCATCTCTGTATCTCAAAGCTAAAGCCAAGGGACATGCTGTTTCTTCCCCAAATTCCTCACTATGCATCCAAAGTAATAAAAAGGGACATTTCCTTATATGCCACAGAAATAGGTGCACACTGAATGAAATTAGCAGCAATGATTTAATAATATCTAATAACCAGCCTCATATCCAATGTTGTTCAATTTTCCAGTTTGTTTTAATCACGGTCCAAACAAGGGCCAGCGTTGTTATTTGGTTGCTATGTCTCTTAGATCACTTTTAATCTGAAACAACCCCTCCACCCTTTATTTCCATCTTGTTCACATGTTAGAAGAAACCAGGCCAGTTGCCCTGTAGAATGCCCTTCACGGTTACTTTAGCTCCCTACTCGTTGGTGTGATTAAACTTGTTCCCCTGTCCATTTACTCTTGAACCCTCTCCAATAGGTGTCCACACCCAAATGCTCCATGGAAACTGTGTTAATGAAGGTTATCGACAGCCCCATATTACTAAATATGACAGTCAGTGTTCAGCCCCATCCAACTTGACATATCAGCAGCATTTGATTCCACTGTCACTACTGGCCCTGAAATTCCATCCTGTGGTTTCCGGGACGCCACCCTCTTCAGACTTCTCCCGCCTCACCGAATGCTCCTTCCCAAGCTCCAAGGCTGGCTCCTCTCCTCAGTCTAAAAGTTGGAGGGCTCAGTGCTCAGTGTTGGAGTTTCTTTATCTATCCTCCTTTCTTCCTGATCTTATTCAGCCTTCCAGCTTCAAATACCATTTATAGAGCTGGCCCTATCAACCTGTGGCTATTTTAATTAATTAATTGATTGATTAAATTTGCTTTCTTGCTGTGCTGGGGATCAAACCCAGGGACTTGCACATGCTAAGCCAGCAGCACTCTACCAGTGGGCTATACCTGTAGCCCTGCATCTAATTTTAGAGACAGGCAACATGGCTAAGCTGCCCACGAAGAACCCTCTCAGGTAAGGTCCTCACCATTCTGTCACTCCCGTCCTCTAAGAAGCTTCCCTGAAGCCCAAATGTAAAAGTGTGCATTTTTCTTAGCATGGAAAGCACAGAGGTAGGGGATGGAACGCAACCTACTAAGGACAGGGAGGAGCCCTGGGAATCCTCCACATCCACGGTCCCTACCACTGTCTGAGCTCTCCCTCCGGTCCCATGAGCCACTGCTTTAGTCGCACAGGAGTGCGCCCCCTGCTGTGCACTGGGAACGACGCCTGCAAAGGATCTGGCTCAAGCCCTCCTCGTGGAGATCTAATTCCGACCTTCCCACCGTCGCCTGCCTCTACCCCAGCGGGAAAATTGTCTTCCATGAAATCGGTCACTAGTGGCGAAAAGACTAGGGACTGCTGCCCTACATGACTACAATGACTAATCCTAACCACGACAAGAGAAATAAGTGCATGTTTTTCATTGAAAAGCAACAATAAATACAATTTATAAACTTGTAATAATCCAGGTCAGTTTTATTCCATGAACACCAGTCACACATCCAACTCCTTCCTCTTCATCTCCAGTTGTATTCTACAAGTCTTCTCATACTGAATATGCCCAATTTTGAAGACAATTTAGAGAGTTTAGCTATAGACTAGATATATTAGATAAAACAAAAATTCATTCACTTGGAAATGTGGAGCTCGTTAACTGACAAAACCAAGTTACAAATTGTCTTAGTTACTTTTTTCTCCTTGCTGAGGCAAAATACCTGACACCCAAAAATAAATGAGGAAGTTTATTTAGCTCACAGTTTGTAGGGGTTTCAGTCTGTAGTTGGCTGGCTCCAAGGCAGGGTGGCATGGCAGAGACAGTTCTTGGCAGGCAGAAGGCAGCAAAGCAGCAAAGCAGTGGAGAAGCAGCAAGCTATAAGTGACAGTGACCCTCTTTCTGTCCCTTATATCTTACCCTGCCCTAAGGGTGGGTAGCACTCGCACTTGGGGTGGGGCAGCCTTAATCCTCACGTCCCTGCACCATGAATCAATCCCAGCATCACATCCTTGATCACACACACTAGATCCAGCCACTCCTGAAAAGCTTCACTAGGTCTGCATGAGGCTTTGGGGGGGACATCTAGATACAAGCCATAACACAAATCACATTTGCTATGATTTCATTAAAAACTTACCTATGAATATGTAGTTATTGAAAAAGATATAAAAGAATGTATACTACATCTGGGGATTTAGCCCAGTGGCTCTGCTCCCTGCTTCACAAGCGCAAGGTCCCAAGTTCGATCCCTGTTTTTTTTTTTTTTATGTACCTTTTCAGAAAAAACCCCAACATAAAATACTATTTTGTTGCTTGCTTTTTTTTTTTTTTTGTACTGGGGATTGAACTTGGGATCTTGCGCTTATGAGGCAGGGAGCAGAGCCATTGAGCTAAATCCCTGGCCCAAATGTATACCACAGTGTTAATGGAAGCAATCTCTGTTCGGTGGATAATGGTATTTTTTTTCTTGTATTTGCATTTTCTAACTTTTTTTCAGTGTACATTTGTGCAGGGATTTTTTTCTGTTTTGTTGGGCCTTGTGCATGAAAGGTATGTGCTTTACTTCTCATCTACATTCATTGTCTTTTTTAGTTTATTTTTTGAGGCAGGGTCTCACTAAATTGCCCAGGCTAGCCTTGAACTTGCAATCCTGCCTCAGCCTCTGGAGTAGCTGGAATTATAGACATGTGCCACTTCACGTGGTTCTCTTTAGAATAATCTTTTATTATTATAAAAACAGCACAAAGCCAGGTACAGTGGTACATACCCGTAACCCCAGCAACCTAGGAGGTTGAGGCAAGAGGAAGGCAGGTTCAAGAGGCCAACCTGGCCACACAGCAAGGGCCTTCTTAGTTACTGTTCTCATTGCTGAGACAAAATACCTGACACCCAAAGTTAAAGGAGGAAAGGTTTATTTAGTTCACAGTTTGTTGAGATTTCAGTCCATAATCAGCTGGTTCCAAGGCAAGGGATTGCAGAGGACAAACTGTTCATGGTGGGCAGAAGGTAGCAAAGCAACAAAGGACAACCACAATTCTTTCTATCCCTTATATCTTATCCAGGCTACTTAGAGGGGTAGCACTAACAACCTTCATCCTAGCGCCCTTGATCCTAGCATTGCACCATGAATCAGTGCCAGCATCACACACCCTAGGCTATCCATCCATCCATCTCTGAAAAAGCCCCAACTATGACCACATGAGGCTTTGGGGGGACATCTATACATGAGCCATAACAGTCCCATTTCACAATAATAAAAAATTTTTAAAATGGCACATGTGTAAAACCAAACCCCTGATCTTTCCTCAAACCTTCTCCTTCCCTGCCCTTTCCCATCTCAGTGGGTGGCTGCTCCATCCCTCTGGTGGCTTAGGTCAGAAATCTTGTGGTCACCTTCAGCCATTCAGTTTCTCTCATCTCACACCTGTGGCTAACTTTTAAGAAAAGTATTTAAAATCTGATCCCTACCTTCATGATGGGCAAAGAGATAGGCAGAAAATTTATGGAATAATTAAAAATGGTCAAAGAACTTGTGAAACAGCACTCAACTTCAAAAAGCATCAAGCACATGCCAATTAAACTGTGAGGTACCATTTTTGCTCATCCATTGGGTAGGCAAAGATTCCAAAGAATGATGATTCTCAGTGCCCGGAGGAGTGGGAAGACCCACCCTCACACATGGCCTGCAGTGCTATCCCCAGGGCTCTAGGAGCCATGGCCAGGATGCCCTGGGTTACATAGTGAGAGCTCACTCTGGCCTCTTGTGCAGAGCCTTCTCTGGACCTGGGGAAGAAGGTGAGCGTGCCCCAGGACCTGATGATAGAAGAGCTGTCGCTGTGCAACAATCGGGGCTCTCTCCTCTTCCAGAAGAGGCAGCGGCGGGTGCAAAGGTTCACATTTGAGCTTGCAGCCAGCCAGCAGGTGGTGAGTAAGCCTCCACTGTGCTCACGGGGAAACCGAGGCCAAGAGGGAGCCAGTGGTTGGCTTAAAGTCAGAGTAACAGGCTGAGCACCTCTGGTCCCTGGAGAGTCCCTCAAGCTTCCACTGGGAGACTGATGTTCCCATCACAGAAGCCCCTGCTTTGCAGTGTGATCCTGGAAAAACGCTCTTTAGCCATCTTTTCCCAGACACAAAACATAAAGCGGATTGGGCTTTCGAGTGACCCACTCTGGCGTCTCCAAAAAATGGGAAGAAATAGCCATGTGGCCTGGTTCAAGTCAGCGGCAGGCAGGGTCTGTTCAGATTCAGTTTGATCCTAGATGGAAAATGCAGGACGCCTTTTCCTTCCCACGAGAAGAGGCCCCGGGACAATTTGCTGGAAGAGAAAGAGGGTAAGAAGTTTATCCCCAGACTTGAAAAAGGCAGCAGGCAGTGTCAGGCGTTCAGTTTCCGGGCTAAAGGAGAGGTCAGAGCGGAGTGATCTGATAAGAATAAGTATAGCAAGTACCTAAGGAGCTGCGTGCCGAGACAGTGCTGGCTAAGCCCCTCTGCATCCTTGCAGAGAACACTAAGGTGGGTGTCATCCCCGCTCTGTACAGAAGAAAGAGGCGAGAAGTGTCGAAGTGACAATAGCAATGATTTTTTACCCAGCGCTGTGCGCTATTAACTCAGCCTTCCAGCGCCGCCTGGAGGTGGTCACTGGGATTCTGTACCCCGTCCCCGGGATTCTGTATCCCGCCCCCCTTCTCCCCCCGCCCCCCTCCTTCATCGTGTGGAGAGAGAATCCTCACCTCTTGCCCTGCAGAGCCTCGCCGGCTTTGACTGCGCCCCCCACATCCCGGCCGGAAGCACCAAGGGGAAGGCGACCGAAGCTTCGGAACCCGGACTGGTGAGAGCAGAGGGCGACCCGCGGGGGGCGCAGCTCCATGACGCCCTCTGCCGTCTCACATCTCTGAACCTGGTGCACAGGTCGCCAACGGCCCAGAGGGGCAGAACTACAGCTCCGAGCTCCAAGTCTTTCCGGCCTCGCTTGGGGGTCCCGAGGGCGCCCGCCCCGCAGCTGCCGGAGAGCAGCGCGCACGAAGCCCCAGCGCCCTAGCGCCAGGTGAGTGGCCGGCCTGGGTCCCGGGGCGCGACTGCGGGGCAAGAAAAGCACGAACGCACACGCGCACGCACGCCCCACGGGTCAGAACACGAGCCTAGAGTCGCAGCCTCGCTCCGGAGCCAGACTGGAACCAAGGTTCCCTTGCTCCACTCTGCCCGGCTTTCCGTCAGGGGAGGGTCCCCTTTGCTGGGGCGACTTTGGCCTACCGTTTCCCAGTCTTCCCTAATGCGGGCCTTCCTGTCCCACCTGGTCCTCGGGCGGAGGGGTGGGACCGGGAGCTGAGGGCAGGGCCGGGGCGGCCCCTGCCGTATGCGACCCCCACGCCCTGGACTCGGTGGCAGGCTACTCTGAGCCACTGAAGAGCGTCCCGCCCGAGAAGTTCAACCACACAGCCATCCCCAAGGGCTACCGCTGCCCGTGGCAGGACTTCATCAGCTATCGAGACTACTCGGTCGAGGGCCAGAGACACACCCTCAGCCTTGGTGACTATCGGAATTTCAATAAGTAAGTCGGGTCAGGGCGGGGCGGGCATTTGGGGGAGGCCCGGGAGGTGTGTGACAGCTGAAGCCCTTATTTCCGCTGCACTGTCTAAGCCAGCTCTGGCTCCAGGACTGACATTGGTTGAGGTCTTGCTAGAACAGAGCCTCAGCACCTAGGAGGTGATTAACCGAAGGAGGATTGGATTGGATGGGGAATGTGCCACACTACTTGTTGCATCCTCTACAACAGGAGGGGCCAGGTGCCACGATTTCCCAAACCTGCCCAGAGTCACACATCCAGGAGGAAGCAAGCAGCAGGGCAGGGCTTGTCTGCCTCCGGAGGTGATGTCTGCCTCTCTATGCTGCTGTGGGCCACCTTTATGATGGCCATCGAGAATCAGAGCTTTCCCAGGGGGTCCCCAGATCTCAGAAGTCCTAGGCCAGCCTAGCGTATCCTTACTCTCAGCAGTAGTGCCAAAAAGGCCTAGAAGGTAGCTTTGAAGTGACTCAAAGCAGGGAGTGGGACTAGAGGAGAGGGCCACAGAGTGGCTCAAACTGGTTTAGTACATGGAGCCTCAGTGTAGACTCCAGGTCTGGCTTGGTGGCCTTAGGCAAGTGATTTAACCCATCTGAGCTTCTATTGCCCCATCTGTACCTGCTTCATAAGGTTGCTATGACATGAGACACCTAAGTTTCTGGCAAGTAATAAGCTCTCAATAGGCAGTGGCTACTTCTGCTGCTGCTTTCAGGCTGAAATGGTGATTGGAGAAGCTAGCAGGGAAGAACTTAAAAGAGACCAATTTAGCATTCTTCCCTGAGAGCCAAAAACCAACCTTAGGAGTCAAGATGAGCTTTGCTCTGGAGGAGGCCCTCGGACTGGAGATTTATTTCCATTGCAGTGGCTTCCTTGGTCTCATGATGTTTCTGAATATGCTCCTCGGTCTTTGGCTGCACTGAGGAACCGGAAGGTCCTCAGAAAGGAGGCCAAGGTCCAGCTCAGACATGTGCTCAGACCACATGTGGAGATCACCTGACAAAGACAGAAGGGTGTGTGTCCGGCCTGCATAGGTCTGGAGATGAGGTCCTAAGAGAAAGGAGCAAAGGACAACAGCAGGGGCACATGCAGGGGTGGGGTGGACTCCAGAAGAGAGGGCTCAGGAGGGGTGTGACTGCCTTCAGACTCCTGAATAACCAAGGAGGCCCTGACAGGAAGAATTGGTACTATGTGACCACAAGGCATTGGCAGGCATTCTGGAGTTCCCCACGAGGCAGGACTGCCCTGTCTGTCTTCTTGGGCCCCCTAGCCCTGCCTGCCCCCAAATTAAAAACCCTCAGCACACTTTGTGTCCTGGCAGCCAGCTTCAAGGCTGGCGAGCTCCTGGGGTCATCTCCCATCCATCTCATGCCTAAGAGTGACTGGCTGTGGCATATTCCCACCTGCAGTAGGAGAGTCCTTGGCAGTCCTGAGCCCAGACCTCTTCTGGAACAGAAAGAGCAACTGAGGCACAGACACAAAAACCAGCAGTATTGGTAGCCAAGCAGGGCCCAGAATTCAGGGCTCTGGACTCCTGGGAGGCCCCCTGCCTTGGACACTGCTCCACCGGTTCCTGCAGGGCCTGACTGCTGTGGTAAAAGCTGTGTTGGTCCAGGCAGCAATACTTTCCAGGCAGGGTCCCAGCCCTGGCCTAAGGTTTGCCTTTCCACCCCAGAAGCAAGCATTCTACGCTCCCTTCTGGTTTCTGCTGTAGAAAAATACTAAGGAACAGTACTTTTTATTTTCCTTAAAACTAAAAAATGGTTTTTAAGTCGCATACACGTGCACACGCATACACGAAGTGTGATTGAAATAGTGTGTGCTTAAATAAAAAAATTACTACAGTAAAAGACACATTGCCATTAATTCCTCTTAAAATACTCTCTCCAGTTTGAACACACTTATCCTGTTGTTCTTACTAGTTTGAGGCAGTTCTAGAAGTCCTCTTTCATGCATGTCTTTAGATGTAATATCCTGGTTGCTCTGATGTCCTTTTACCTTTCTTTGTCATTTTGATTTTGGAGAAGAGCTGGAAGTCTGATGGTTCCAGATCCTGTGAATAAGATAGATGGGGACTCCCTGCAATGTTTTCATTTGACAGAAATTGCTGTAAACATTTTAAGTTTATTTTAGACACTGAGGGAGCTGTAAACATTTTGAATTGATTTTGGACCCTAAAGAGTACTTTCAGAACTGCTTCAGAAAATGACAAGAATGATGGAATATGAGTGTCCAAAGCAAGGGAGAGTATTTGGGGGGATTAAATGGAAATGTCTTTTACTTTGTTAAATTTAAGCTTAAACATTCACTGTAGTTTTGATCGCCACTTGTGTATTCTCTTTGAAAAAAATTAAGCAACTACAAATAAAGGCAGGGCTCCTTTGTTCTCCAGTCCCAAGTCCCTTTCCAGAGGTAACATGGCTGTCAGGTTGACCTGTATGCGTGGGAACATTTTGTACAGAGAGCTGCATACCTATAGACATTGCTTTGTGGGTATGTGTGTGGTTTAATACAGCACTTTCCATTTCAGTCTGTAACTTACTTTTTCATTCAACACTGTAGTTTTGAGTGTCTTCCCTTTAGAGCTGCTGAATAGCGTTCCATCATGTGATGTATTATCTGTCTTGTCCATTCTTCTGCCAATGTCTGCATGGGTCACTTCTGCTTGTTGCTAATGCCTTGCCCGTCTGCTTCCTTGTGCACACACACATGCCTCCCTGAGCTAGATGCTGAGAGATGGAGTTGCTGGGTGATGGTGTTTGCACCTTTTCAGCTTAAGGATCCTGCCAGATTTGTTCTCCAAGATAGAAGCACTGATTTACCCTCTAAGCAGATGACTGTGAATGAAACTGCCCCTACCTCGACTTTGCCTCTGTCAAATTCTTTCCATTTGCCAGTCTCCCAGGGGAGAGATGGCATGTATCTGTTGTAATTTACATTTCCTTGATCCTCACTGCTTTTTCTAACCTCCTTTTTCTCTCCAGGTTGTGGGTATTTTCTTTTAAGGGGAGGTGACAAGAACAAGGAAAAACCGTACCGCACAGGTTGCTCTTAGGGAAGCCTAGAGTTTTGCCAAGGATGAGCCAATTCTTAAAGCAGAAAAGTTCACTCCTACTCTGTACCACTAGGGGCAGACTTGGGAAAGGGGAGAGGAGACACCAGTTAAAAGAACCTGTGTACCATAGAAGGGGAAACTGATGTCACACGTGGTGACCTGCCTGTCAGTGTTCTGCCATCCCTCTCCCACACAGCCCACCTCTCCTGTTGCTTTCTCACTCCAGGACCCCGGTGCCATTTGGAGGACCCCTCGCTGGGGAGGCCATTTCCAGGGCAGCCACCCCCTTTGTCCCGGAGCCCTTCAATGGCTTGGAACTCCTCCGCCTCAGACCCAGCTTCAACAGGGTGGCTCAGGGCTGGGTACGCAACCTACCAGAGTCTGATGAGCTGTAGCCCCAGTCTGAAGCTTCAGTTCCCCAGAATTGGGGCACAGGTGACATCTGGAGCCAAGATTTGTGGACAGCGCTTTACAGCTTATGAACATCTTCATATACAAACCATTATTGCAAATGGCCTCGAAGATCACAAAGTTTAGTAGTCTCCAAATGCAGATGTGCTTCAGAATTACCTGGGACATCAGTCCTAAAACAGATTTCTGGTCCGTGTCTGTGGTCCCCACCCCCTCCTCTTGCACCATCAGAACCTCCTGCGCTGGAAGCCTGTTAGTACCCAGCACTCCAGGTGATTCCAGTGTCACCTGTCCATGGTTTGTCTTGCACCTCACTCGATGGGTGCAAAATGGGGCACTTGCAAGGAATCCTTGAGCAGGCCCCCTAGTTCAAGTGATGATGAGGATCGTGGTGGTGGCGGTTGCATTCTATTTAGTGTCTCAGTTGGCAATATGTTCCCTATATATTCTATTCCGCATTCTCCATATGGCTGCATGATACTTTTCTCCCTATTTACACTGGTGGATATCCAGGCCCAGAAGGAAATGCCTTGTCTAGGGCAGTCACAATGACAATCTGTCTAATTCAGGGGATGTGTATTGTCCCTGGATGTCTATTGTCCTGGGTGTTCAAGCCAATGCCCACTCACCTATAGTCACTGATCTTGGTGCCCTGCCTTGCAGTTGAGAGGTTAAGAGTGGAGGCTGGGGTGTCTGATTAGACGGGATGGGTTCTGACTCTACCCTGTGAGCCATGTGACTTTAAGGAAGTCATTTCATACCTTGAGCCTGTTTCTCCATCTGTCAGATGAGATAAACACAGAAGCTCCTTTATGGGGCTCTTGTAAGTTCAGTGAGCACACATTACTAAGGGCCCAGTGTTAGGCTTCTGGCAACTACTGTTATTGACCGGAATAGATGCTCTTGCAGTGGATACAGCCAGAGAAGTAAGCTGCCAGGATTCACTTGGGTTCAGGGAAGCTGGTGCTGAAGGAAAGCATCTCACTACTGTAGCGCCCCCTTTGGACAGGAATTTCTCCTGCCCCCTTGCCTCCCTCTGCTTCCTTGACTCCAGGCTGGGTGGAACACTGGTTACATTTTCCTTTTGCTCCAAAGTTTCATCCCCTGTTTGGGTCTCAGGGCCAGTAGCCTGTCTCCAAAGATTGCTTGTAATTAATGTGTTTTCTTGAATTTGTGGGCTGTGGTTTAAAGTCAGGTTTTTCCAAAAGTGGAAATAAGGACTGAGATGTATAATGGATGTTGGGAAATGGAAAGAAAGTGTTCAAATGGGAAGGGGAACAAGGGAGGAAAGAGGGAGAAAGGAAGGAAGGGACAAGAAAAAATGAAAATAGAAGGAAAAAATGGAAATAAAGCTTTCATACATAGGGAGAGGAAGGGGCTCGTGGGGGTAATGGGATAAAATGAAAAAATAAAATTAAGTCAGGTATCTGTGAGCTGAAGAACACGAAAGGTGTCTGGAAAGTAGAAGACAGACTTGGAATGGCTTGAGTGGGCTCTGCAGTGCTCTGGAAGGTAACTGCAGCTGCCTTGCATAGAAGAGAGCCTGGGGAAGGAAGGGAGAGTCCTGGATCCCAAAGGGGTCCTCATTCCTTTTTTCTTCTGATTATCTGACCTCTGTTGATGTTAAAAAATGATATTAAAATGAAAAAAGAGAGAAATATGAAAGGATCTCCCCAATACAACCTTTCATCCCCATCCATAGTTCCCCACCCTCCCGTATTCTGCTTCATTTCTGTGTACCGGAGGAAGCCACGAGAATTAGTAAATTCTGTGACTACACCTTGTGTCAATGGAATTGTACTATATGTTCTGTGCTTTATTCAGCAAATAAAATTCCCATCCTGAAAAGGCAGGTAATTAACGTTTCATGTGATTTGGGGGCCTAACAAGACCTCCTTGATATTTTTGCCTGCTTTTGTTCTTTATATAAATGGAAAGGACCAGGACTAACCAAAACATTGAGAAACCTAAAGATAGACACAACAGCAATGAATGAAGTGTTACATGCAGTCACAGAGATACATCTCAGTAATACAATGGTAAACAAGGGAAGGCAAATAGTTACATGTTTACTGATGCAAAGAAATGTTTAATATAAAAGTCAGAATATTGATTAACTTTGGAAGGAGGGAAGGGCTTGTGAGTATGAAGGGACAGAATAAATGACTCTGGGGTAACTGCAAGTTTTCTGTTTCTAGACCTGGGTGATTGTTACTTAGAAGTTCACTTTAAAATATTTAAGTTGTATGTTATGTCTTATGCACTTTTCTGTATTTTACCAAAATAATCCCTTCTTTTAAAGTTACTGAACAGATTAATAGATTACATATGCCTGAAGAGTGCCCATAATGCATCACATTAGGTAAACAGAAAATATGAGAAGTTAAAAGACATGGAAAGCAAATAAAAACTCTCAAAACAGCAGCTTTGCAACAATGAGAAACTATCCTAAAGGAATGTGATGGTTAATCTTGGTTGTCACCTTACTGATGGAGGGACACCTAGACAGTGGCACGTGGGTCAGGGAACTAAGTGGGGAAGACGCCCCTCCGAACATGGGCACCTCTGAGGGGCTTGGGCTGGGGCTGGGGCTGGAGCTGGGGCTGGAGCTGGTGTGGAATGAAAAAGCAGAAGAGGGAAACTTGCTCTTCCTTTCTGAGTGGGTGGATGCCCATCCCAGAAGTATGGATTTTAGATTAAAAATGACATGGCATTGGCTTCAAGAAAAATGGATTTATAGATACATTTTACCTGTTTCCTTTTAAAATGCCTTGTATAAGAATGACTTTTTTTTTTTTTTTTTTTTGAGACAGGGTCTCCAAGTTGAAACTCTCGGTTCTGCTACCTTAGCCCCCTGGGTGCTGAGATGACTTTTTAAAAGCCAGTCTGGTGGCACACACCTGTAGTCTCAGCTCTCAGGTGGCCAAGGCAGGATTGCTGCATGTTCAAGGCCAGTCTGAGCTACATAGTGAGCTCAAAGCTCAGCCTGGACTAAATGTGAGACCTGTTTCAAAAAGACAGCATGCACCTGGATGTTCTCCAGAATAGACCACACACTAGCTCATAGAACATGCTTAAGTAAATGCAAGGGAAATGAAATTATCCCATGTATATTATCAGGCATAGCGCAATAAAATTGTAAATCAATGGCAAAAGAATCCACAAGAACTTCATAATCACATGGAAATTAGATAACACCCTCCTGAACAACAAATGGGTCACTGTTGAAATTAAAGAAGAAATCAGACAGTTTCTACAATTAAATGATAATGGCAATACAAAATGCTGGAACTTATAGGACCCAGTGAAAGCAGTCCTCCAAGGGAAATTTATAGCGGTATTAGGAAAACAGAGCGGGCTAAAATAAACAACTTAATGTTGAACATTAAGCTTCTAGAAAAAGAAGAGCAAGTCAAGCCCAAAGCTTGTACAAGGGAGAAAATTATAAGAATTAGAGCAGAAATTAATGCAATGGAAACTGAAAAAACAATACAAAGAATCAATGAATTGAAAAGTTGTTTCTTGCTGGGGATTTAGCTCAGTGGTTTCGCCACCTGCTGCGCAAGCGCTAGGACCCGAGTTCAACCCCCAGTACCAAAAAAAAAAAAAAAAAAGAAAAGAAAAGTTGTTTCTTTGAAAGATTAAATAAAATAGATAAGGGCTAGAGCTGTAGCTCAAAGAAAGATGCTGCACCTGTTTGGCAAGTGCAAGATCCTGAGTTCAATCCCCACAAAATAAATACATAAAATAAATAAACCCTTATCCAACCTTATCAAAAAGAGGGAGAAAATGACCTAAATCCATGCAATTATGAATTAAAAGTGTGAAATAACAATGGACCCTGCAGAAATCCAGATCATCAATATCTACTTCAAGAACCTGTACTCTAGTAAGATGGAAAACACAGAAGAAATGGACGGATTCCTAGATACATATGAATTACCAAAACCAAATCAAGAAGATATAAGATTCTAAATAAACCAATATCAGCCAATGAAATTGAATATGTAATTAAAACCTTACCTACAAAGAAAAGCCCAGGCCCTGACAGATTCACTGCTGAATTCTACAAGAAATTTAGAGAAGATCTAATGCCACTACTTCTCAAACTCTTTAGTAAAATTGAAAGGGAAGCAGTACTCCCATATTCATTCCTGGAAGCAAGCATTACCTTGATACCAAAACCAGAGAAAGATCCAACCAAAAATGAGAACTACAGGCCAATCTCCCTAATGTACAGATACCAAAATCCTCAATAATATACTGGCAAACATAATGCAGCAAATCACCAAGAAGATTATACACCATGACCAAGTAGGATTCATCCCAGGGATGCAGGGATGGTGCAACATATGCAAATCAATAAATGTAACACACTACATTAACAGAGCCGAGGACAAAAACCATATGATCCCTTCAATAGATGCAGAAAAAGCATCTGACAAGGTCCAACATGATATCCCATTCATGATAAAAAAAAACCCTACAGAAAATTGGTATAGATAAGTCTTTATCTCAATCTGATAAAAGGCATCTATGACAAACCAACAGTCAACATCACACTAAATCGACAAAAACTGAAAGCTTTCACTCTAAAATCAGGAACAAGACAAGGATGTCCACTGTCACCACTCTTATTCAATATAGTTTTGGAAACATTAGCCAGAGCAATTAGACAAGAGAAAGAAATAAAAGAAAGAAGGATATAAAAGGAAGAAATTAAATTATTATTTGCAGATGACACGATATTCTACACAGAAGACCCCAAAATCTCCACCAAGAGACATACAGATTTAATAACCAAATTCAGTAGCATAGCTAGATACAAAGTCAACACTCAAAAATAAATAGCACTCCTATACACAAACAACAAACTCATTGAGAGAGAAATTAGGGAAACAACACCTTTTACAATAGCATCCAAACAAATGAGATATCTAGGAATCAATCTAACGAAGGAAGTAAAAGACCTCTACGTTGAAAACTACGGTACTCTGAAAAAGGAGATTGAAGGGATTATCAGAAAATAGAAAGACATCCCTTGTTCTTGGGTAGGAAGAATCAATATAGTGAAAATGTCCATACTTCCAAAATTGTTATACAGATTCAATGCAATCCCAATCAAAATCCCAACAGCTTATCTTGCAGAATTAAAAAAAAAATCCTGAAATTCATTTGGAATCAGAAGAGACCTAGAATAGCAAAGGCAATTCTGGGCAACAAAGGCAAGGCAGGGGCATTACAATCCCTGACTTTAAATTATACTGCAAAGCTATGGTGATTAAAAACAGCATGGTACTGGCAAAAAAAAAAAAGAAAAGAAAACAGACCCAAGGTTCAGTGGAACTGATTAGAAGATGCAGAAACAACTCTAGCCATCTTACCTTTGACTCAGCCACCTTATCTTTGACAAAGGAGCCAAACACCTTCACTGGAAGACAGCCTTTTAAATAAATGGTGCTGGAAAACTGGCTTTTCACATGCTGAAGATTGAAACTAGACCCATATCTTTCACCATGCATTAACCTAAAATTGAAATAGATAAAAGATCTAACTATTAAAACAGAAACACTAAATCTGCTGGAAGATAGAATAGGCACAACTCTCAAAGATGCTAGTGTAGTAAAAGACTTTATGAACAAAACCCCAATTGCACAGGAACTAATCACAAAGAATCAACAACTGGGATCTCATTAAAAAGCTTTTGCACAGCAAGAGAAACCACCAACAGAGTGAAGAGACAACCCAGTGTGGGAAAACTTTTTTACCAGCTATTCATTGAACACACTATCTAGACTATATAAAGAACTCAAAAATTTATCAGACCCCCCCCCAAATTTAAAGACCTGATCCAAAAATGTGCATCTGAAATGAATAGACACTTCTCAGATGAAGTAGAAATAGCAAATATATAAAAAATGTTCAACGTCATGGGTCATTTGATAAATGCAAACTAAAACTGAGATTCAATCTCTAGAAAAAAACTTTTTTTTTTTTTCAAAAAAATTACTTTTATCAAGAAATCAACCAATAACAAATACTGACAGGGATGTGGGGAAAAAGGAACCTTTCCCCACTGTTGGTGGGAGTGTAGACTAGTGCAACCACTGTGGAAATGTGTGGAGATTCCTTGAAGAACTAAAACTGGAAGTTCCATTTGACCCAGCTATTCCCCTTCTTGGTATATTCCTGAAAGAATTAAAAGCATCATACCACAGCGATATATGTATATCCATGTTTATAGCGGGACAGTTTGTAACAGCTAAATCTTGGAAACAGCCCAAATGCCCACTAACCAATGAATGGATAAAGAATGTTTTGTTTTGTTTTGTTTTTTTAATACAATGGAGTGCTACTCTGCCATAAAGGATGAGCTTCAGACATTCATAGCTAAACGGACTCATATTGAGACCATACTCTTTAAGTGAAATAAATTGGACACACATGTTTAACTACTACATTGTTTCTGGTGTGAGAAACTGAAAGTGGAAATAAGGGCTAAAATGTGTAATAGATATTGGAAAATGGGAAGAAAATATTCAAGTGGGAAGAGGAACAAGGGAAGAGAGAGAAAGGGACAAGAAAAAGTGAAAATAGAAGGAAAAAATGGAAACAAAGCTGTTGTACATAGGCGGGAGAAGCAGCTTGAGGGGAGGGGAATGGGAGAAAAGAGGCGGGATGTATCATGTACAGGTGCAAATTCACTTTAAAAAAAAAGACATGCATGCTTCTGAGACAGACTTTTAAAGCTACATTTATCAACCACACATGCCAGGTTCTGTACTAAGTGCATTCTATGCATTCTTATCTGAGTCTCACAATCAACATTTGACATAGGTACTAAAGATGCTTTATCATCTTTTATCATCATAGCATGGATATGACAGTCTAAAGCAAGATTTTAAAAATTCACTTGTATGTAACTTATTTCTAACGTTCACTGAGCTGAAATTCAGCTACCAAAAGATGAAGAAAACAGAAATCTAGAAGTGAGCCAACAACTTTTGGAAAACTGACCCGTTTTAATTATTTAAAAACAATACAACACATCAAATTTCCCTTACATCTACAGTTCAGTTATATCCAAACAGTCTAAGACCAAATATTCCTCTTCCTGAAGCAGGGGAGATTACAATGAGACGCTGAAGACACACAAAGGTGAATGCTGAAGATTAGAGTTCCAGCTGTAGGTCACAAGTCTTCCATTCAAACACACTCCAAAGCTTTTCTTTTCAGTTTGTTAAAGTGTTTTATAGGAAGTTTTCCCAGACATCGGGTTTCTTCAATGATACACAGCTCCATAAAATCTGTGTTTCCATCTGACTGATAGGAATAAAAAGTAATTTTTACTTTTGTCCTTTTTTTTGGTAGTGGAAAAAAGTAAAACTATCAGGTTCCTGTAATACTTGAAAAAGAGCAGAAAG